CAGGAGGGAGGAATATAAATATGACACAAAGGCCAACATTCAGGTCACATGCCACATAAAGCCACAGATAGCTGGTTTTCCTCATTGAGAGCATCAGCAGCCTAAAGGTTAGTTTCCTGGATAAGGGGAATTTGTACTTTAAAGGCAACAAGGGGAAAATTGTTGCCCACTAGGAAAGCTGTCATGGTAAGAAGGAAATCTTTTCCCATATACTTCTTGTAAATCGGAAGCAAGAACATCAAGATAGCTTTTTGTTAACCGAGCTGCATCAAATATTTATACAACCCAGGGAAAATAGCTTTTTGTGCACAGTAGGATACCTTGATAAAAAATGCAGTGATAATGGAACATTTTCAGAGGAAGGACAGTGATTGTAACCTTTATGTTCAGAGCCTTTTCTCTAAGAAAGAGTGAAGTTATGTCAGTTCAAGAGTAGAGATTTGGGAAATGATGCCACAAACAGCGAAGTCAAAATGTTTTGTTTTATTTGCATTCCTTGCTGCCCTATTGCAAATGAACTAACATTTGGAATTCTAAAGACCTTTTTAATGTAGGCTAAGTTCCAGGAGCTAAATCTGGTTAAGCAAGAGATGACCAAAAGAGAACACAACTGCATCAGAATCAGGAAATACCTTGCGTGAGGAACGGTGGAAACTGGAAAGACCAACTCACCGTCTAAAGCTGATCTTTGTAGATAGGTTGGGCAAGATTCAGCGGAACGAATGTAGGCATCTGCCCTGCGGGTATCTGTGTATGAGTTGTCACCCAGAAGTGCCATTATAATCAATGGAGATCTAGGCCTAGACCAATATAGTAATTGGGATTTGTGTTGTGATCCGCCTCATCCTTCATCAGATATATAAAAGAGATCAGATAGATTAGAGTTCATGATTTAGTGACAGCAGACCTAGATAAGACTGAGATACTTGGTGCTTCCTTTGCCTTAGTCTTCAATGACAGAGTCTTCCAGACCTCTGAGCTTAGAGGCAAGGTTCAAGGAGGTGTAGAATTAGCAGCAGTGGGTGAAGATCAAGACAGGGATTGGCCGAATGGTCTACATCCAAGGGTGCTGGAAGAGCTTGTTGATGTCTTAACAAGGTCACTTTTAGTCATCTTTGAAAGGTCATGGAGATCAGGGGAGGTTTCCAACAGTTGAGAAAGGCAAAGGTTGCCCCATCTTTAAAAAAAGGCCAAAAGGACAGTCCAGGGCCCTACAGGGTGGTCGGCCTTACTTCGTTCCTAGGTAAATCATTGAGTAAGTCCTTTTGGAACACATTTCTGGACACATGAAGGAGAAGAAAGTGATTTGGAACAGTCAGCATGGATTTAACAAGAGTAGATCATATTTGATAAAACTTACTGTCTTCTGTGATAAAATGACTGGATTTGTGGATGAAAAGAAAGCAGTAGGTGTTACTTTGGGTGAATTTATCAAGGGATTTTGACAGTGTCTCCCATAATATTTTTGTGTCCAAGTTAGGACCCTGCAGCCTAGATGGGATGACAACTAGATAGATGAAAAACTGGTTGCATGGCTAGGCTCAGAGGTTAATAGGTGATACTTTGGCCAGAGTAACAATTGGAGTACCACAGAGATCTATCCTGGGACGTATTGTGTTTAACAACTTTATCAGTGATGCAGAGGAGGCAATGGGGCTTGCTTTTGTCAAAACTGCAGATGATACTCAGGGGTGCAGTTGAGGTTATTCAGAACTGGGCTGCTGTCCAGAGGGACCTGGGCAAGCTGGAAGAACTTGCCAGCAGGAGCTTTTTGAAATTCCATGAGGACAAATGTCCTGCCTCTGGGAAGGGAGAGGTCCTTTTCACTAATCCAGGCTGGGGACTACCTGGCTGGGTAGCAGCTCTGTTGAAAAGGTCCTGGGAGATGTTAGGCAGCAAGCTGAAGCTAAACCAGTGGCATGCCCTGGCAGTAGAAAAGGTAACAGTATACCAGGCTGTAACAACAAGAATATAGCCAGCAGATAAAAGACAGTGATTATCTTCCTCTACTTGGTGCTCGTTAGGTTGCATCTAATGTCTCCAGTTTTTTACGCCCTCCCCCAAAGGGGGCAAGGAAGATGTTGGCAAACTGGAGCTGGTTTAGCAGAGGGCCAACAAGATAGTCCATGGCTGGAGTACTTGTCCTGTGAGGAAAGGCTGAAGGAGCTGAGTTGGTTCAGCCTAGAGAAGGGACAGCTTTGGGGGACCTAACAGTGCCTGGCAGTGCCTATGAGGAGACTATCAAGAAGATGGATCCAGGCTCTTGACTGAAGTGTATGGTAGGAGGATGAAAAAAAAGATGTACATAAATTGAAACAAGAGAGGTTCTGGTTGGATATAGAGAAAAACTTTTTCATCATGAAAACAGCTATGCTCTGGAAAAGGCTGCCCAGGAAGTTGTGTAGTCCCCATACTTGGAGATTTTCAAGGTGCAACTAGATATAGCCCTGAACAATCTGGTCTGCACTTGTATTGAACCTGCTTTGGGCTGGAGATTGGACTGGAGACCTCCTGAGGTCCCCATCCACCTGAATTATTCTATGATTCTATGAAACTGGATCCTGAATGAAAGAATGGTTATTTCTCTCCATCAGTTGTCAGGAGAGCCTTGGATGACTAACAGCTGTAGACCTCTATATCATAAATATCTGATGTTAGATTATGTAAATCTCTGCTTGTGGGCCAGCTCTAGAACACGTGACTGTAGACTTAAGTTTCTCTTAGAGCTAGAGCATCAGTGTGATAAAGGTATTGGAGGCAGACTCAGTGCATCTGTCCATCTCCTTGC